GTGAGCTGGGAGCCAGGACTCCTGGGTTCTATCCCTGGGTCTAGAGGTTAGAGCAGGGTCCTAACAGGAGTCCTGCACTCTATTCCCAACTCAGTCACTGACTCACCGTATGACTTTGGGCAGATCACTTCCCTTCAATAAAGCAGGGATCTTAATAGTGACTCACTCCCTCCCCCAGATTTTTGCCCCTCCCCCTTGGTTTAGGGTGTGCTAACCCAGCCTCCTCTTACCCAAATCTCCTTTTTCTTATTGACATGGATAAGACCCTCCTCAAAGAAAACGGAGATGCCATCAGGAACGGCCAAGCCACCTTCTCTGAACACACTGACCACCATCCGGAACCAGGGGAGGTCGACCCCTTCGCAGAGGGAAGACACCTCGTAGGCCCCTTCAAGGAGGACTTCCCTCTCGACACCATCAAAGGAGGTGAACCATATTCCTGGGGCCAGCGTGCACCGGCCCACCTGCTTCACGCAGCTGCGCACCCCATTCCTGAGCATGCATTTCTCCTCTTCGGTACAGTTTGTTTCCTCACAGATGACCTCGCCTGAAGCGTGGCAGGTGCATTTCTCGGAGCAGTTGCTGGACACAAGGCTCTCCCCGGCCTTCAGGGAAATACCCAGACAAACAACTTTGTTAAGTGAACACAAAGGGAATCACACCTCGGCAGGAGGGACTGGAAGCAGCAATATATAGAGCTATAGGAAAGCCCCGCTGTGAGAGGATCAATAGAGAGAAGACATCAAGGACCTTCCAGAAGCAATAGCTTAGCAAGACTGATCACAGAGAGAAAGAGCAGGTGGATACAGCAGCGATAAAGAAAGCAAGGTATGGGATTGACCTTACTGAGGTCTAATAACATCAAGCCCCAACACCTAGCAACATCCCCTGCCCAAGGTCTGACAACAAGGGGGATGGCCGCAGTGTTGATTTTCATGTGAAAGGCAGATTTGCCAACCAGAAATTAGGCTTAGTCCCACCAACACTTTTCTTTACACACAGTCAATGCTCTTGTTTCCCAGGAGCCAGACTGGAGGGGAAGAGCCTCATATTCCACTCGCTGCCCCCCTGAACTAAGGCTGGATCGGAGCTGGTCCCCTGGAGAGGAAAAGCCCCATCTCGCATTCCCCACCCACCTAAGCCAACCAATCCTCCCACCCTGGGCTGGATCAGAGTCAGATGCCCCTAGAGGAGAAAAGACCTGTGTCCCATTTCCCCAACCCACTAAGCCAGGCAGTCCCTCTGACCTGGGCCTGGTTCAGAGCTGGCACCCCTAGAAGAGCAAGGCCCTGTGTCCCATCCCCTGTACCCCTAAGCCAGTCAGTCCCCCTAGCCTGGGTCTGGATCAGGGTTAGACCCCCTGGAGGGGAATGGCCCGTTTCCCATTCCCTAGACACTTCCCTATTTTACACTTGCTCAGTCTCCAACATGCTAGACAGTTTCATTTCCTCATGGTATTTCCTTCCAGCTCTGTTTTACAATCTCCTGCAAACAAACTTCATCTCAATACCTGGCTATCTGGATACCTGTCTGATCTGAGCCCATGCTCAGAACTTTCTGGGAGTCACGTTACATCCCAGGTTACTGGTCAGTTCCTTAGATCAAGCCACCGAGGCTGCTTAGTGAGGTCCATAAACTGTAAGCATCGTTGATCAAGTTTGTCCTGCATGGACAACTACACAGAACCAATGAGACTCCCAAAGACCTGACACGCCCACGGGATGCTCTGAGCTTGGTGTAAAACCAGGAAAGGATCTTCTGGGAGCAGCTTTTGCTTTGGTTATTCCAAAGGCCTGTCCTGGAATATAGAAGACCATCCTTGTTCTCAGTGGTGGCAGATGACAGAACAAGAAGCAATGGTTTCAAGTTGCAGTGCGGGAGGTCTAGGTTGGCTATTAGGAAAAACTATTTCACTAGGAGGGTGGTGAAGCACTGGAATGGGTTACCTAGGGAGGTGGTGGAATCTCCATCCTTAGAGGTTTTTAAGGCCTGGCTTGACAAAGCCCTGACTAGGAAGATTAACTGGTGTTGGTCCTGCTTTGAGCAGGGGGTTGGACTTGATGAGCTCCTGAGGTCTCTTCCAACCCTGATATTCTATGATTCTATGATCCCTGTAATAGAAATGATGGGCCCCACGTTTTGTATGCACAGCTGCCATTGACTGCAGTGGAAGCCGCATGGGTGACCCTGAGGGCAAGATTTGGCTCTAGGTTTTAGGTATAGCCGCATAGTAGGATACAGGACATGCCACTCTATAGTCACTCTAACCCCCATTGGGAATCCCATTGCCAGAGGAGAATGGTGGAATCGGGGAGAACAGACGGACCAATAACCCAGCACCCACCTTGATGTAGCGTCCATTGTGCACACAGCCACACCTGTCCATGGAGACGCATGCCTCCCCATCGGACACGTATTCTGGATCACACCAGCAGCCTTCAAAGCACTTCCCGGTGCATTGGGCAGGGGCAAACAAGCTGGCACAGGTGAAATCGCAGGATCTGGTACACAGCGCATAGTGGCTGTTAGCCGGGCAGGCAAGGGCTGGAGGGACAGAAGAAAAATTACAACCATCACAGACAGAAAGCCAAGTTAAGGTGAGGTCTCCCACCTAAATAAATAGAAGCTCCTACTTAGCCTAGAAGTCTGAGATGCATTGTGGAGGTTGGATAGCACAAGAACCACAGCAGCTATGGGTTAATGAAGTACAGATTGTAGATTGTCCTATAGACTTACGGCAGAAGGAGGCCGTTCTCCAGGTCTCGATGTTGGCCCCAGCTGCCTGGCACGCAGCCACATAGGCCTGCAGGCTCTGGCAGAGAGTCTCTCCCCTTCCGTTGGTGGCACACATGTCATAGAGACAGTGGTTGAAATACTCAACAGGATTGATTATTGAGTGACAGTCTCTGAAGGGACCTGAGGTGGCCGGGATCAGCCCACAGGAGCTCTCAGTCTGGTACGGCGCTGTCTGGGCTGCATCACAGATGGGGCACTTCTCACCACAGCCATCAGAGCATGTGGCACCATCAACAGGCACCTTCCAGGAGGCGACAAATTCATCCACCTTCTGGGTATTCTTCACACCAGGCAGCAGGAGATCATCGTTCTTGTCATCGTTAAAGTTGCCACACAAGCCGCACACATGTCCCTTATAGGTGCTGGGGATGGACAGTAGGAGGTAGGAGGCAGTGTCGTAAAAGACTTTGAGGCCAGAGGCTGATTGGACAATGATGTTGTTCCCCTCTTGGTTGATCCAAAGTTTTCCATCGTCCGTAGCCAGTGGGAGAGTGTAGAGCTCACCACCCATCTGTGCCAATAAGAGAGAAATTCACCCATCATTGGTGGAGACTTAGCAATGTCCTAGTGTTTTACACACACACACACACACACACACACACACCATTAGTGCTATGTAAGTCTAATCGCAAACAGGGACTTACCGCAATCTTCCACTTTCTCCCCCTCTCCATGGCGATGGTGTAACCATGCAGGGACACCACCACTGTTCTCATCACAGCCATGTGGCCACCACCAGGGATCTCATTCTCCACCACCACGGAGAAGTTCTCCAGTCCAGAGTCTCTGCTGCAGACCTTGGCTAAGGTGTAAGTGCAGGAGCCCTGGAAGTCAAAGGCCCGTCCGTCAAAGGAGATGTAGTGAGGTCCGCCAGATGCGACGCATGTTCCATAGCCCGTGGCATGGCAGCCCAGGATTCCATTCTCCACCCTGCACTCCTCATTGGCTCCACAGGAGGCCTTCTGGCACGCAACGACCCCTTTGTCTTTGCAAAGGCAGCGTTCCTGGCAGGAGGCGCTGGGGAAGAACTCCTCTCCCTTCTTGTAATACATGGCCTGGTGCACACAGCCACACTGTGCGACAGGGATGCACTTGTCACCACTCAGGGTGAATCCAGCATCACAGAAACATCCTTCAGCACAGGGTTTGTCACACCGATCTAGAGCCCACAGGTCGTTGCAGTTGGAAGGGCAGCTAATTCCACAGAGTTCGTAGTGAGAGTTAAGGGGGCAGGTGGGTCCTGAAGAAAAAGAATTCAGAGAGAATTTGAATTTCTGTGAGAGGAGAAATGTGGTTGAACTAACAAATCATCTTGGTCAATGTTGTTGAAAGTCTCTTTCTTTTCACATCCGTTAGGATATGGTTAGAGCAGGGGACTGGGAATCAGGACTCCTGGTCCTAGTTTCATCTCTGGGAAAAGTATAGTCTAGTGATTAAATTAGGGGAGTGGCCATCAGGACTCTTGGGTTCTATTCCCATCTGTTGGATAAAGGGTCACCTCTTGACTAGAATAGTGGGAGTCTGCATTCATGCATTATGTTGCAAGCAGGGGGGCTCCGAACTCACACACCCACAGTTATACTGACCGAACTCCTGGTGTAGACAGTGCTATGGCGACAGGAGGGCTTGTCCCATTGCCATAGCTACCGTCTATCAAGGAGGTGGATTAACTACGCCAATGGGAGAAGCTCTCCTATTGGCATAGGCTGCGTCTTCACTAAGTGCTACAGCGGCACAGCTGCATCTGTGAAGCTGCAGCTCTGTAAGTGTAGACAAGCCATGAAAACACCAGGAACAGAAAAGATGAGCTCTAAGAGAAAGTTTACAGGACATCTAGACATTAAGTAACATGATACAGAATGAAAAATATATTTCAGGGACTAAAATTTTAATTGCATGTTGGAAATGTCTAGGGCTAGAATCTGTAACAAAGATATCGCACACTGTAAATTAAAACTCAGAACTGGGTGGGTGAAGAATTCTGACCCCACCCTGCAGAGGGCGCTGGCGCACATGTGCAGTAGCCAGTCCCTAAAGCAGAGTCCCGCAGGCGACACTTACTGCAGAATGAGGGCGATCTCCACTGCCCTATCTGGATGCCCCTGGCCTGGCAGGATGTGACGTAGGTGCTGATTGTGCTGCACAGTGTGTCCTGGTGACCCTTGTATTGGCAGGTGTCATAGAGACAATCATCAAAGAAGGGAGCTGGGTCGATAGCCCCGTGGCACTGTCTGAATGGCCCGTTCTGTCGGGTGATGACCCCGCAGTACTGGTCTCCCTTATAGGGTTGTTTCTGAGCCTCACTGCAGACTGAGCAGTCCCCGGTGCAGCTAGA